ACCAATGAAAAGGCGCTTTTGAAGAAATGATGTAATGAATAAGATTGATTTCCTTGTAAAACTAGAGAACAATTGTACGATTTGTGTAAGTTGGACCTTTAATTCTCATATTAAATCAAGAAATTCTTCATATAACACTTTCATCATTCAGCTACAAGAACCTATTTATTCATTTGGCCGTCTCGGTCGAAAATTTTTCCCGGTCGCAAATTGGACCAACCAAAAAGAAGGAAAGGTTTACAATAATACGCTCTAAAATAATTTAGCATTTTGTTGAATGCTTAAAGAATGTTTAGAAAGTTTGTAAATATTAAATTCTTCGTTTCATATTGTTTTTCGGCGACAAAAATGACATATTTCGCACTTTTTTAAGTATTTTATCGCTTATATATCGAAAACTACATATTAACTTTAGAGAATAATCACAATTAAATTGTTGTTGCAAATTTGGGCATGACCAACACGCAGATTCGTTAAAAGGGTCATTTTGAATGAGATTACTAAAAAAATCCGAATCAGAATATTTTCCAAATCAAATGCCATGATACTGCCTGGACTAAAAAGGGGGTTAGTAGTTGATACTGGAAACAGGATCGTTGAGCATCAAATCAAGCGTTGTTCATAATGAATGAAATTTTTCAAAAACTCGCATATCTGTAATTGCGACCTAAACACATTTTTTGGTATATCGGGTGCGTTAATCACGAATATGTTGTCAGTTTTTCGCTGACGTCTCCTTAGGGTCTATTTTCCTACTCAAAATACGGCTTCACGATACTTAAGGATCTTTTTCATGACCATATTCGGAATCAGCGTTTCAAATTACCTCAGTCTGTTGAGTTTTGTTCGCACGAGCCTGAAATGGAAATTTTGTTTTGAGAAATTTCAAAAGCTCAAAGGTCAGCTATCAATGAAATTTTTCAAAAAACTGTTGTATATCTGCAATTTCAATCAATACTTCGTTTTTGCCTTGCCTAGCAACTCGAGTACGAGGTCACGGAAGCCATCGGCGCTTTTTTTCTAACAAACAACATATCGCACTTCTCACTCTCTCTCGTACACATTAAAACGTCAGTGGTATTTGGTTTTCAATGTATCGTCGAAGTCAGTGTCCCAAATTATCCGAGTATGCCTGGTTTTGTTTGCTGATAGACACGGGAGTCAAAAAGGGATATTTTGCGTTGGAAAACTTAAAAGATTTAAAGGCGACGCTTCAATGAGAATTTTCAAAAACTGTCGTATATCTCTAATCTCGATCAAAACTTCGTTTTTGAATAAACCGCGAGCGTAGATCACGAATCTCATTTCGTTGCTCAGAGACTGGCAGGTCCCATATTCGAATTCAGTGTCCCAAAATACCCGAGTATACCTAGTTTTGTTTGCTTATAGCCACGGGGGCCGAAAATGGATATTCTGTTTTAAGAAAAGCTTAAAGGCGAACTATTAATGAATATTTTCAAAAACGGTCTTAAATCTACAACCTCTATAAAAACTCGATTTGGATAAATCAGGTGCGCAGTTCACGAATCTCTTGTCATTTTTACGCTGACATTGCCAAGAGGTATCAAAAGGTCCATTTTATTACCGAAAACAAGGCTTCCTGATACTTGAGATTTTCGTCATGTACATATTCGAATTCAGGTACTAAATTATCAAGAGTGTACCGAGTTTCGTTTGCTTGGAATTTTGATTTGAGAAATTTTAAAAGCTTAAACGCGAACGGTCAATGAAAATTTTCGAAAACTGGGGTATGCTTCTGAAAGCGAATACCTTTTAAATTTAATCAAACGGCAGCGTGGGTGGTGAGCGGCTTCATAAATCCGCCAATGGCTCTCTGTTTTGTTTCTCTCTGAAATACAACAAAAACAACCCTCGTACGTACACTAGCTAATTTATCCATTCAATGAAAATGTTATGTAAATACTCAGTAGCAGAATATCAGTACATATTATGTAGAAATCCAAAGCGTTGTTTTATTTTGTCAACAGTTAAAAATTCATGGATGAGAAATTTCACCAATACTGTCGCTATCTTCTCCAAGGATTGATATTATACGTTATCGACTAGATTTTATCTTTCACAAGCACCATATTCTTGAACCATACATATAATGCAGAATATAATGTATAGTTATAGTGAAAATACGTACTTACCTTAACCAACATAAGTGTTCAATCCTGGCGACTTGTAATGACGTATATCTTATCCTTGTCCAGTATTATACAGAGTCTTCCTTAGTGAAGATGTATCAACCTAGACCTTTTCATACCTCAAATTAAAAAAAGTTCTAAATTCAGTTTTTATCTAAACCCGTCAAATCCTTAATATCACATATATCTCCGGTACTATTGAACCGATTTTGTTGAAATTTTGCAGAACAACAAAGTTACCTAGGAGCATCGTAAAACTAGATGGACGGTTAAAAATCCAACACCGGACTCGATATTTTCCCTTTTCTGTTTTTTATCAAAATCATCTTTTAAGCAGACTGTGTATAATATATCCAATGAATGGAGCGAGTTAATTAGAAAAAACAGTTTGTCTGTTTTAGTTTTAATTTATTCGAACATATTATTTTTATCAACTTGTTTCCATCAACATTTTACAAAATAATGCGTAAAATTGATCTATAGATGGTTTGGGAACTATAAATTCCAGGGTCGCATTCAGTTTCTTTATTTGCTTGTATTTTACTAAGCACAGTTGTAAGTTATACTCTGAATTTATTACTATTTCGTAGAAAAAAAGATCAACACAACACAAATAAAAGGGAAAAATAATATTATGTACCGTAGTTTTTTCAATAATTGTTTAATGATTGGATTCTACTAATTAGAGTCCTGCTTTAGGGAAACGGTATGGCAAATGCACTGAATTTGACTCTCCAGACCAATTGAAAATTGTAATGAAAATGTAGACGAACCTAATACACAGGTCCGTACTTGGACGTTCAACATTGTTACGTTTACATGGTCTCATCACAACCCTACTTTAGATTTGGTTATATAATGTACAGATGGTACAACACACAATTAACTGTCAAGTCCGGACCTAAATACTAAGATTTTTAAATTAAACTTGGTCTGGACGGTCAAATTTAGTGGAATCGCACATTTAATTTCGTTTACCTTTTAGGCAGATCTCATGTTGTACAATATCAGTTGGTGGAATTAAAATCAAATTAATACATTCCCGAAAAAAGTAAATAGAGCGCATCACATCAATTTCCCCTTTATTTATATCATGTATTGCTCTTTTTTCTGCGGAATAATAAATTCAAAGTACATCTCACAGGGCGTCGCACTCAATAAAATACACGGAAATAGAAAAAAATGAATTCGACTCGGGAATTTTGACTTCCCCAAATATCCTTAGTTTAATTTTAAGCATTTATTTGTAAAAATTGATGAAACCAAGTTGAAAGCACTTGATACCTTGAGTTAGTGTGTCACATAAAATATTTGAATGAATAAAAATTATTAACTAAAAATCTAAACGGGTGCAATCTATTTTGCTAATTAACTAGCACCATTCATTGGCTTTTTTACATAGTCAAACATTTTAATAGCCAGATTAAGAGGTGTTGATTTTGATAAACGGCAAAAAATGAAGAAATCGAGTCTGACACAGGATTTTTTAACCATCCATCTAGTTTTACGTTACTTCTAAGTAACTTTGTTGTCGTACAAAATTTCAACAATGTCGCATGAATAGCGCCCGAGATATATGATATTAATGATTTGGCACTATTAGATAAATCACCCTGTATATCTGTAAATAACGAATTTAGACCTTTTTTATTTTCAGATATGAAAAGTTTTTTGTTTATACTTCCTACAATTTTAACTAGATTCAGTACGGATTACCCTATAAACCCTGGATGGAAACCACACAATCAGAAAATAAAGCTAAAATTTAGAATCGAGGAACTTACGAATTAACTCACTTGAACAGCCAAGATATTGTGCGCCAACGCTAAGCAGTGCATCCTGATTGAAGCTTTTTCTTATTTTTCAAGGCAAAACATTTTAGTCTCTAGTGGAGAGCTCTCAGATTTAAACCTCGAAGCCCATTGAATAGATTTTTTAGATTTTTAACTCAAAGTTCACCTATTTGTGTTTTTTGAATCTCAATTCTTTTTATTTTTAAAATTTCATTTTATATATATATATATATACGATCTATCCTTTATAAAACACCAGCAAGAAGATCTCATTAAACTTAACAGACAAGTTCATGTTAGCTTTAGTATTTTACGGCTTCTTTACTGAAGTACAGTGTTCATTTCTTCTTTTTTAATTTCTCCTAAATTACTTAAGTCAATCGACGCTGGACTTTTGAGGGACTTAATTTGTACTGGTTATATTCAAATAAATTACCTCAGAGGCAACACTATCAAAGTTTAACCGAACATTTCGAATTTCAACTAACCATGCCACTGTATAGTGGTTATTCGTGTTTTTCTCGGCTCCCGATGAATAAATTTGGGGCGATCCATGACTATTCCCATGTTTAATTCTCCGAGATTTATCATTTGGCGAATTTTCGATCAGTATTTTAAGTGTATCCCACCAAAAATCTCTAAATCCATCCAGTAGACCCTGGTTCTGAGGTTTTCGTGTTTTTCTCTCTAATGGTACTCAACTACGTGTAGCATTATTGATTTGCGTAATCCCACATATGTATAAAATACTTCTTTAACACATTGTGATGTATTTGTGAATATCCCAGTTCATTATATTGCCCTTGATACCAGACGCTCGATTTTTATGCTGTGATGACAACCTACTGCTTTCTGATTTGATATCCTCCGAGATTAGTCCAAGATTAGGATGGAGAACAAAAAATGAGATATCCACGAAAATCCTGTTGAAAACAGGGTACAAGAAAGTCTAGATAATCCGTGAAGGATATCTTTATAAAGAACTGAAGTGGAAGCAAATCTTAGGTCGCCATGGTAAAGGTCAAACTGAAAGTAAATAATGTAAATTCCGCAGCTTCGTGACTATTGGTGAGGTCTTTATTCATAAACTAGGTAAATAGACGATGGAAAACTTCATATATTGAATTAAACAATAAAATGTTTAATCAAAATCGTATACATTTTAAAGCATATATTAGACAAGTACTTATGACTAATATACCTACATACACAAAAAAATGCACATACAATCAATAAATCAGTTTTGTGCTAAGCATTAGCCGACGTTGTGTATTGTGATATGTTTTATTACAGAGGAGTAATCCTGTTACTTATTGAAACAAATAAATCTCTATTTTACATCTTTTATGGCTATCATACTTTTTAAATACACCCGAGTACATTGTAGTTGACTAGTTTCGATATACCTAAATTTTCTCCTTATTAAAGGATACGTATTATCCTGCGCTACATTGCACAGGTATTGATTCAATATTTCTTTTGCATACACAGTGTTTCGTAAATATGGACAAACTTTCACATGGATTGTTGATTATTTCTTCGGACTATTCTAAGTCAAGACTACCTTAACAGGGAAAAATGATCTTAATATTCGGGAAATCATTCCAAGAGTGCTTGTTCCATGTGTGTGCCCCCGAATATGTTTATCTAAAATATAATGACAAGTTTTCTTATTCATTATGCGTAGTCTGCCCATGTCGCCAATGTTTCCAATGATACATTTTTGAGGTGTCATGGGAATTGTGATCATCAATGAACGGATTTAGGAAAACTACACATTAAGAAAAGGAGAAAAACAAGTTTTTGCAAGAATAAAACGGTTAAAAGTCACCTGTTATATTTAATATCAGAGGTAAGATACTTTGGCAGTGTTTGTGCAACTTGATATTATTTTGTTTAAAACAAAACAAATCCTGTATATTTACATATGTACAGGTTACTCCCTGTTTTTTGGTTTGTGATTTTATCGTGATGTCCTCAACTGTATGAATATAGTTTTGTGCATTTAAGTACGATCAAATGAAACCAGATTCACTGAAATACGAACATATATATGAACATTTGGATACAAATCATCACCAGAGTTGCCTTATTATTAGCATACATTCAGTATAGATTACATTCCACTTACAAATAATATTTACAAAGGATAAATAGACAGCCATTAGTACAAAAACTATGTGGGGTTTATATTTAATAATTTATACATAATATATAAAAACCTCCTCTATAACTACATCACTAATTTCTATTCTTATTTTTTTATAAAAAATCTTTTGGATGTTGGGACGTTCTAGCACTTCATCCTTTTGACTTCTGGTCCCCCGTTTAAGTATATAAAAATACGTTATGGCACTGAATCCCGTTCTGACCTTTCAAGGGCTGGAACGTCCAACAAGATCATACAAAAAGAATCACAATTCATCGATTTTACGTATATATTTACCATTTTTAGTATAGACGATTTTATCTTTATCCAAATATGACATCTGTGGTATTGGGGGATAATGAAATATGTACGCACCACAAATCAGTTTGTGCTTTAATTAGTTCAGTTGAGATTTCGTATAATCATTTTTAATCTGACTGTAAAGCAATCCTTCACACGTTTTTACACAATCGTGATGCCATTCAATTATTTATTGATTTCGTGTGCATGTGATATCTGTCAAAGTTAAGTACATATGTATTATGATATCGAATCGATTTTGCTTTAGTTTTGCACCGCATACTATCATCATATTTATCATCACGAATAATTTGTCATCAACGCATGATATTTATATTGCCAAAGTTTCAATTGTGAGTGGATTATACCCCTAGTCAAACTAAAAACTGACCCATAGTGCCACATAAAATAGTTAGATAGTTTATTTGACAGTGGTGTACCATTTTCAGGTAGCTTTTTCTTTTTGGGGGCGACAATATTTTCTTGGTTCTGAATTCGCGAAGATCCGGAATTCTTTGTGAGTCATAAGGTAACTATTTACAGGATGAAATATATTTTGAAACTACGTAGCTGGTTTTCCGATAAAAAATATCTATAGGATACAGCGAAACAAATGATGGGATTGAATTTCGTATATAATTTATGGAAAAACAATATTTTATTATTTATTTTTCCAGACCAGTAAAGTAATTGACCGTAAAAAGTACGTTGTGTTATGTTTTTACGTCCTATCTGTCTTTATATTATATATTGTCTTTCGGATAAACAAGTATTGCTTTTTTATAAATTGTGCATTTTTACTGCTGTTTCACAGCAAGATTATTTTTGTCGTGCAAGACATTTGTCAAATTTGAAATTTGTTAATCTAATACGTCATTTTATTGGATACAAAAATTGCGAAAAGTTCTCAATATCGGTGACTATCTTTGATGCCGTAATTCATGAAATGCTAAGATTTCCTTTCAATATAAATCAACTTTTAAAACTATATTATAACGCAATATAGGAACTCAATTTCATAAAGATGTCACAATGATCAGAAATAATTATTTGCGCAGATATAAAATGTTTTGTAGATAGCATAGTTAACTTTGACAATAAAAAATGCTGACTAGCAAGTAATCTAATTGCACATTATTTTGATCTCAATAATGTGGGGCACTTTCATTGTCATTTCATGTCTTCCACCATTCCGTGATTCCTATTTATTGTTGAAGTTATAATAGATCACTACCAGTATATCTAAATGCATGTAGACAGAAGAAGGAAACTACTTCTGTGTATCAAAAATTTGAGCATCAAGAATCTCGGTTAATATACGTTTGATCCTTAAATGTATTTGAGTAGTAGAATATGCTGAGAGATGTACTTTGGAAACGAATAAATAAATAAATACAGGGTCTTAGTGGAAAATGACATCCAAATTGTTCTATGGTCTTTAAAGACAAATAATGTATTGTCAGCTTTAAAAAGAATCTATTTCTATTTTCAGTCTTCTTACATTAAATATTTGTACTGGTTATTTCATTTGGATGTCATTGAGGAAATTCAAGGAAAAATGTGCATTTTATACAGTCAAAAAATCTTTTGTGCATCCTCAACATTTTGCGAGTCATTTCATCATGAAAGGTCTTTTTTATATGATGGTTTTAGAGTATATGGGAAATGAGGTTTATGTTCAAGATCCAATTTTTATTTGGAAGGTGATCGATTATGTTTTAGTGTGTCTTGCCATTATAAATTCTATATTCAATATTGTGTAAAATGTCATTTTGAGAGTTAGGTGTACCTAAAATGGAGACGTATTTTAGGACACTTAGTCCAGAATATCATGAGACGTCCATCATAAGTTAACATCTACAGCTATACATCCAACTGGTTATTCGAATTACAAGTACGCCTAGACGTTGGTACACAATTTTTCTACCCTTACTTTTTTGTTATTAAAAGTATGCAATAACATTCGTATTCAAAACATAGATGGAACTTACGAACATAATTCGGAAATTACCGACCTGGAGATATCCTATTTTTTACATTTAATTATTGATCATCCTGTCAAATTTGCATCCAATTTAAAGTCATTTTCAAATATATTCGACTTTGATGATTGAAGAGAGAACTTTATATCAATGTTGAAGTGAATATTTTCCTTCATCTGAATATCCAAAGTTGTATGTATAATCTGATGTGTAATATCCATAACATAACTGACATTCCGGTTGCTGGACTATAATGTCAACGTAATATGTATATCTCATAATTGTACATTAGCTACATGAATTTATACAAAAAATTCAATAACTAACTATAATATTAATGGTAATCATGACATCAATGTCATCTCTCAAGTAGCTGTGGATAGTGATACTTCAAAACCAATAGGAGGTCATTCAGAATAAAGGTAGTTTTTAGGCAAGAGTAGTAGTTGTGTTTTAAAATATATGGAGCTTACAAAGAAACATATATCAAGTTATATGCAATTAGCATAAATAATCACGCTTCATATCCATAGAAGAAACAGCAAGTACTTCATTTTATATACATCAAAATAAATACATTATAATGGCAAGCAAAGTGAACTCAAAAGTCACCACTATCCTCAACCATTGATTAAATAGTAGAATTATCACCAGAAACTCTATAGTTATATACTTCGAGTATATACGTCTTTTATTACTCAAAACATCACGATATAGTGGTACAAACATGAAAAATGCAGGCTTTCTTCTCTACGGCTTACCTTAATAGTCGCCGAGGCGAGCGCGTAGATATACTACGAAATTATTTAGATTTCAGATCATTTTTTATGATTAATAGGGAAGCAACATGTCGTTACAACAATTTATACAATATCCTACCCTTTATAATCCAATAAAGCCACGATTGCCTTGGACCTGAAAGATTCGCATTGAACTCCTACTTTCATTTCTGTGAATAAAAAATAGCTGACTTGATTCCAAAGTAGAAGATTCTATTAGATAATGATCCCACTTGGTACTGGAATAATCGTCATAGGCGTTATGAAGGTACTTAAATTTTTTCAACTTAGAATTAATTATGTCCAAATGACTCGCCATCTATTGGTCATGTTCATAGAAACTTCGCATTCGCCTCTGCTACTACCTAGCGTCAACTTTTTACACGAGAAATCATTCTATGACCACTACATATTACTGACGTTGCTGTCTCATTGTCACGTTCACAGTTACTATATACGTATAAAAGTCCTTATCATATCACTTTCTACTTGTGTGTTTGTTATGAAATAGTACGTTTACGAGAATAAGAAGAAGACTAGAGAGCTGTTACCATGTCCTTGTTGTTGCCGACGGCGATGCCGCCGACCAAGCAGAGATCCCTTACTCAAATGGGCCCGTAGTTGCTCAGAGAGGGGGCGTGGCCTATCGTTACCGTACCGCCCACCGAAGCTGCACCAATCGCCTGCGCGGGCGTTCCGTCCTGTCCCTAGAAAAACAATAAATGTAAACCATTGATAAAGACTCTCTAGGGATATGCTATAAAGTCTTTGGTCAGGATTTTCATCATACAAATGTGCCAAAGTGACATTTTTGTATGTTTTGCACAACTTGGCCGGGTTTTTCTAAAATTCTTTCTCTTTCGTATTCTAATTACAAGATACATGGCTGAATTAAGGCTTTTTAATTGCTTAGTTGCTACTGATGTATAAAAAGCGTGAGACGTATGTAAGCCAGATCTGTGTCACTATGATGTAAACGTGCTATCATTGGTCCCCCCCCCCCTGACGCCGTATTGTATCGTCAAAAAAGATTCTAATCTCAAACATGTTGACTAATTTTGTAGTATTTGCGATGGAATTACCGTATTTCGTTTTTACTTTTCTAGCTGAGTAACTTCTTTAAATTTCACGATTTCAGGTCCAATAATTACTATACGTTCTTCTGACTGTACTACTAATACTCTAGTTTGCCATCAATAAAAAGTGCGGTTTTTAAAAAAGCAGTCTCGTTTCAATATAGTTTTTGGCGGTTCTCAAACTACAGAAATTACTTTTATACATCTCCCTCACATACGCAATCGGCCTCTATGCGCGAACGTTTATTGTTTGTGTAAGCTCACAGACATACAAGGCCTGTAAATGAAGTGATGAGACTGGCACGTAGAGTTCAATCTGGCAACACTGGAGGCGCCCGGACTTGGAGGGGGAGACAGGCAAACATGTCATGCGCCTTCAGTACAAGTTTGAACTCGCTCAAGTGATTTGGTTGTCCGTTTTGTGAAACAATTTTTCCTATTGTGTTCTAAAAATGAGTTTCAAGCAACGGTTTGTTATCATCAGGTTTTGATTCAGACTGGCGCGCATCTTCAAGAACCGATGAAAATATCGACAGTCAGAATGATCGCGAAAGAGTTAAATTTGAATCACACCATCGTTCATCAGATCAAGGACAACTGGGTGTTGCATCACGCTAATACTCCTTGTCACACAGCAATTTAAATAAACGAGTATTTGGCTCCTCAGCCTCCTTATTCGTCTGACTTGAGTCCTTGTGACCTTTTTCTCGTTCCTAAATTGAAAAATCACCTCAAGGGATCTTATTTTGGGACGGTCGAAAACATTCAAACGGCTGTAACCGACCAGCAGAAGGCTATTCCAGTATCGGAGTTCCAGCACTGCGATGAGAAGTGACAGAACTGCCTCCACCTTATTGTGGCTTCAGAAGGAAGTTATTTTTCTTCTTTATGACATAATCTTACCATCATAATAAGATTGATAACAAAAAAGTCCCCCTAGATTTCTGTGGGTTTACAAATCTCTGATTTGTTTGTAATGGTGCATTTTGGATTTAATGATGTTTAAAACTAAATCTTGGTTTAGTAAAACTTTAGTCAAATTCAATGTTGGTGCTAATGCTAAAAATGTATATCCTAGTTTTTTTTGTGTCGCTCATTATGAATCTGTCATCATGACGATATTTTCACAATGGCGGAACCAGAATAACGGAATCGATATATCTGTACTGGAACAAGACCGTCCTTCTCAAAAACGGTTCATTTTATCGAGATCAAACAAGAATAAATTTTATTCAGTTGAAGGATTGAGGAAATAGCAACCTGAGTTTCTGCCTCATGTTTTGGAAACACTTTGTATATGTATACGATATCTTACCTGTCATACGTGACTAAGGGGTGGCTGCTTAAGTACGTGGTGGTGGAGGTGATGTTGGCTGGCCGATGCCACACTGCCGCCTCCAGGTGTGGGTCCCAACAAAGACGCCGCCCCGCCGCTGCTGGCCATTAAATATTGAGTGGGGGGCGGCGGCGGTTGGGGTTGCGGTTTGCCTTTGCGGCCCCCTTTGATCAGCACCGCGTTCGCACCGGTCATGTCGGGACGGCCGAACATGCGACGCCAGAGCCGGCGCCACGAGTCAACTGTCTTGCCGGACCTGGAAAGGCATTTAATCTCCAATTATTTCATACGTGGTGTCCCAGAAGTCGACGTCAGGTCGGAAACGGCGGATAGTAGTTATCAGAAAAATATAAGAAAAAAAAACTTAAGTCGTTTACTTATCTGAGTTTCTGGAAAGACTACCGAAGTGATCTTTACTGGAAGGATCATATTTTCCACCTTTTTCATTAGATAGGAATATAAACTTTATCCTATTATTGTCTGAAATCTGATATAATTCTGTTGTTTCTCAAAATAAGATTGGAGTTGTACTGGAGCGTTATTTTATTCCATCAAAACTCCCATTTCCTTTTTTAACAAAACGTTCCCAAGTTACTCACCATATCCATACGCCCGACGTGATTCCAACAGCCAGAGTCATGAAATACTTGAGCATCAGAACAGAGTAAAGGGGGCGTACTTTGTACGAAATTGGGCCACCACTGTAGCACGGACATACAATTGACTTCAACCACTCATAATGAAACGCATTCTCATAGAGATAGCATCCGATCACTATTGTTGCAGGAACGGTGTACAGGACACTGAAAATGCCGATGCGGATCATCAGCTTTTCAAGTTTGTCTGCTTTCGAGCCTGCTCCGGCACCCCCTTGCTGCAATAAAAAAAAAAAGATTTCTATCAATTAACATACCGTGCGAATCATTTACGGTTGAGGACAGAAAAAGTTTACTAATCTTTAATACTTACTATCTAAAACAGTGAAGCGAATTGTACGAGAATATAATTAAATGAAGGTTATATTAAAAACTATCAGTTGGTACCATCCACTCAGTCTGGGTTCAGGTTTCATCATAACACCGTTACCACATTAACGGTTGTTTGTGTTTGTGATGATTATCTTAGCGCAATAATGTCACAACAGCAGTCATGCTTGTCCTCAGCAATGCATTTGATTGTTTACAACATGGCCTATTGCTTTGCTGAGCAGGATAGCAGGATTAGGATATTGTATACATGTAGCCCTGGTTGGCATGGAAGAACAGCATTTGCTGATTGTCCATCAAGTAAAAATAAGGGCTTTTTATTATTATATATTACTACGCGTTTTTTTTTCAGTATAATAATTATTCACTTATTTCAATTGATACAGCTTACTTTATGGTGACAGTAGAAAAAACTTGGTAGATTGGTGTCGTTTGGGTCGTGAGTCCCTAATTGGAGGGCTTTTATTTTCCGATAGTGGATACTTCAAATTAACCCTAACTTCATATAATTAACCAATTACCTTTTTGATCACATTCCTGATCCTAAACAGAGACACAAATCCAGCCATCAGAAAACTGGTACCTAGCACCAAATATACCAAAAGGGGTCCTAAAACGAAAGTCCGTAGATTCTCCATGTTCATGTTGCCCACAAAGCAGATGCCAGAAATGGGGTCTCCATCTACGGCCCCCGACATCAAAACGGCTAACGTCTGGAAAGTAGGTATTAACCAGGCGGCGACGTGGAAGTACTGGGCGTACCCTGCAAGTACCATGAATAAGATAAAAACATTAGAAAATATTATGTTTTAAAAAAGACTAGCGACAGGAGGTTAAACTGCACAAGGGAAACACGTATTCGTATGAAGCCAATGTTGTTGCCAAAAAGAAGGTGGTTCTCGGAAATCGCCTGTTTCGTGGTTGACATCCATGATGAGAGCAACAGTGAGAGATGCCATATGCGCAGAACCCGAAATTAATTTGCTGTGCAGCGTACATATGAGAGATGGCCTAGGCGTAGATCCTGAAATTCATCTCCTGCGCAGTGTACTTACGAGATAGCCCTGCCTTCGTGTCAACATTTTTGGCTTCACCACCACTCTATGAATTTAACCTCCTATTACTAGTCTTCGTGCGTGCAAAATGTATTTTACTAAACAATTCATGTCATTTCAAAAAAAAAATGTAATTTTAGAAATACTTCATTCATAGTAGACATATTTATTAGTTGAACAAGCATAACAGATAAATGAAGTCATTGAATTATGTGCCAGGCTGGAAAGGAACTATTTTCAGTTGTTTGCTATTCTCAGAAATACCTTGTTGAGATTTGTATTTTATGTGGACAAGTTACAAGACTTTTGACTATTTTTACTTACTAACTAAAGTGACTAGGCATTACACTTCCAAAATGAATTTCTATTGCTACTATGAAAAAATGGCGTCAGGTAGGTTGGCTGAGCACTTCCCACGCAACGTCCTCATCAGCAAAAACTGGACCCCACCAGTAGATTGAGTAAAATTTCAGTCAAACATGTAACAATTAGTCCACAGACATTCATTATCTGCCCTACCGCTAGTGTATCTGGAAACGTCGTCTCTCCCCGATACCTAACTCGGGCTGACGTGGTACCTTGGTAGCGCGGTCAGAGCATGGGAACCACTATGCTGTTGCGCGACAGAAATATGTGCCATTCCGTACCAGGATACTCATTATGGTCTGCGCACGACGCCAGTAGCAGTCGCTGCAGATAGGTGCGCAATCCGAGTCCTGAGAATAGTTTTCAGGGCTAATGTACAGAGAAATCTATGATGTGTGAAATTAACAGGTGCGAAGAATAACCAATGTATAAATGTACCACCATTAGAAAATTGAGATAAACCCTCCCCACCACCTTAGAACCCCCACCGCTAAGTTTTTTACCTCTAAAATGTTTGTCTAAACTGATCAGGATCCACTGAAACGTCAAAAAACGATTTATACTTTTTTCGATTTAGGTCTTTTTCTCTGTCGCCACTGAATCGATTTTCAAAAAATTGTGTAAAAATTTCATTGAAATCCGAGCAGTGCTTCTCAAGATATAGGCGGTTAGAACGGACAGACAGACTGACGGAAATTGATGACATGGTTTTTGTATACATATATCATATAACATCCAAAATACAATATCCCATTTTCAGAAATTTTCGCTGATTAGAATACTTCCCCGCCAGTACACGTGGAAAGCAAAAACAATGCTGCTATCATCCCACTCCATCTCTGACTGAAATAATTATTTGTTGCCAAATAAATTTAAAAATGTTCACGCGAACTTTTGTTCATTTATTCAACACAGGATCGTATTCAAAGTTTCTCTGTTCGAAAATAGACAATAGAAATTTGAAAACTGTATTCAAAACTTACCCGCAATGGCTTCATTGCCCCACTTAAGCCCAGCGGCCAGGAACCACGTCAGTGACAGTACCACCCACCAGATGGACGATGCCATGCCGAAGAAATAAACTAACAGAAAGACCAGAGTACAAGGACTGGAGTCGGTCGAGGAGTACCGGATGATACTCTCGGTGGCTCCGGTTGTCGTTGAGACTCTTTCACAGGCGACCTGCTCGTGTCCAACGCCTACTCGTACTAGGTACCTGTAAGTACTTGATTTAGTGACAAAAATCCTATTGCTACTTATTGTTTGCTTAAAGTCAAATAGATATTAATTTGACTTGTTGTCAATCATGTGAGAAGATACCTTGTTAGGGTAAGACCGACAAAACGTGGGGAACTGAAATGCTTTTATATTTTCTTTCAACGTCCAGGCACCTGCTAAGTTAATTTCTCTATGGAATATGTCATATTTGATCGCTTGATGAGTGGTAATATGCTCTTTAAAAATCTGGCATTTGTAGTGCCATTTTTGCTCTTTTGGCGCTCTCAAGCGCCGCCAGTAGCAGGGCTTCTTCTATACGTGAACACTGCTCTATTGCTCATCTTTTAATTCAAAACACTGAGGATGACAGCTCACTGGGAACTTCTTCTATGGAAAATAATTTAAGAATAGTTTAACTTATGGGAATTTTAAGCCCCGAAAAATATTGCGCTTGACAGGATTTCTTCCAGTGAATTTAGAGTTCAGAATGCGCATTATGAAGTTTTGAGGCTGTTTTTCACGGAGTTATTGATAGGAAGCATTAGAGACAGTTGTCTAAGCAGAGCGACACCAAAGTAGCCGTCTTGAACCGTGCATCACTTTATACTTTCCCTGTTCGAAACTCCACGATTCTGGCTCTGTCTCTTGCAATCTGGAGCTTCGCATTAATAGACGTCATTGAAGATTAACTTCATTCCTCTTCCACATAAAATCTACTCACCCTACTGACACCAGAAAGTAGCATGCCGACAGAAACACGATCGGTCGTTCCGGGTACTTGAACCGTTCCGTTTCTATACAGAACGTGGTGAGCGTCATCAGCGTGCTGGCCGCGCACAGACCCGACCATAGTGTCACCCAAACGGAGGCGAATTCCTTCTCCTCCTGGTTGAAGAACACTTCCTTGCACGGGTACGCACACCCTTTTACGCCCGCCACGCTGACGTTGTCCCAATGGGCGATCGACACCAGGCTTTGCTGGCAGTGGCATTTGCAGTCCCTGCCCCCGCTGGCCCCTGAGATGTCCACGGTGCCGCCCCTGCGAATGCCGCCTCCGCCCACCTGAAATTCAAACAAAAATATTAAATCCTTCATACATGGTGTCCTGAAATTGAAGGATAATCCGGCAACTGGAAATAGGTCACATGTTGACCTACAGTTTGACAAAATTTTGTTTAGTCAAAAGCAATCAATTTTTTAGCTAAAATCGAAGCTGATAACTGGGCGCTTTACGGCAATGGCGCTAATGTTTGAATGTGTGTTGATTGTTTGAAAAATCGTATACCACCGTAGAATTATCAAGACTTGCAGGGGATATAGTGCCTAAGGCCCGTATCGTCAGTCGTCCCTACAATTGTAGGGCGCGTTTATGGCCTCCTTGATTGTCAGACTCCTTTCTCTCCTTCAAAAATTTCTAGATTACACTTGTCCCGTGTCAGCGTCAGCGCTCTCCTATTGTGAAGATATGTTTTCTTTTTAAATTGTAGAAAATTTCAGGTTGATAAAACATGATATAACTCAAAAGCAAGCACAATTCGATGCAAATAGATGTTTGTGACATAACCTCAAAATAGAGTTCTGACACGGAGAAGTAGAAAACTATGACAATCAAGGAGGCCACAAAGGCGCCCTACAATTGTAGGGACGACTGACGATATGGGCCTAGGTTTTGGTAGTTGAAGCCATGTGATTTTATCGCTCAGAATATATAATGAATAATTATATATGAGCTCGTGACGATTTCTTTAGCTGCCCAAATGACGAATTACTTTCAACAAGCGCGAGTAAAATCAATTAAGCATCTTGGTCAACTTTCATTGAAAATACCATTTTCTGTACGTACACACGATACGATAATCGAACATACAAAACTTTTGACAAATATTGAACGATATTAGAAATAATTATGGCTTTAGATCTCACTGCAACTGCACTGATTACGGTGGGATCGGTTCCCTCCCACGGATCAGCGGAACTCACTCGCTGTTATATTCGAAAGTCGTGATCACGTCACGCTTTTAAATCACTGATATCAAAAAGTAACGGTATCAGATATCACTGATATTAAAAAATAACGATCGACCATCTCTAATCTACAGGCGTAAAAAATGGTGTGTGCTGGGGGGGCTCCCGCTATGTTTTCTTCTGCACTTTGAAGTCAAAATTGGGAGAAATCTGAAAGTAATTTAGACATCAGAAAATTTTGATATTTTTGATGGATGCGCATCTACCAAAAATGCCAAAATGTGTGATATTTATGCCTGAATTACTATCTTATTTATCCACCGACCCCCAATTCTGACTTCAGATTCGTGTTTAGCTTAAAAAAGTGGATGGAAAATACATAGTGGGTCCGAATCTCACATATTTTTTTTATTTTGTGGGCCTGTGTTATCAAATTAACCATGACTTCAATTAAATTATAGTTATGTATAAGATGGGATATTTAAAGTATTGATACCTTTTTGAAGCAGTGCCGTACAGGTATCGCAAATCAATCTATTGCGACATGTACTATCTCTGAGAGAACTGCTCTACAGAAAACAATGTCGAAGGTATGTGGATAATTTTCAGAACAAGCTTTGTGGTGTCTGTAGGCAGAAACCATAAAAAACGCAAAAAAAATTAGTTGGTTGTAGAAAAATGTCATTAGTTTGTGGTAGGTTCTACTTATTCAAATGAAAATTCGGGGCGACTTCAAAATCAATGAGGGCATAAGCTTTCCAAAAAAAACATCAAATCTTACCAGGTAAAACTACTAAATGCTTGGACTATAAGGGTTTTTGCAGTTATATGATGATATTGATATTTCGGTTCATGGGCGCCCTAGAGAAGAAGATTTGGTCCCCGCTTTTCAAAAAGTTTGGTGGCAGGTATTCACAAAAAGTTGTCTTGCCAATAATCTGCCCCTCCTGAGAAAAATTCCTGCGGACGCCCATGTTTCTGTCGAAATCTTACAGTAGAAATGTCGACGAAGAAAATATACAGATTGGTATCTCAATTTCAGTTTTGCGACGCACTTCTCATTTGATTTTCAATTTCTTCAATACTATATTACGAACAACTCAAACAAAAAATGGTTACCTGGTCTCCTGTGTGGCTTGGGCAGTTTTTTGAACCGGGCTTACAAGGTTTCCCACCCTTGCCTTTAGTTGTCGTAGGTGCTTTTGTCGAGCTTGAATTACTAGGTTGATCCATGCATAACACCTCACCACCTAAAACATTAAAAAATACATCTATATATGATGTATGTCAAAGAGAAAAAAAAATAAACATTCTGGGGGTGCTTTTGTGATAAGTTTTTCAATTTTTTTTTTGCTATACTAATAGGTGCGTAAAACTGCTAGGGGTCAGGAGCGAATGAATATATTCCCGCAAAAAAAGCGAGGTATGCAAACCCCCTCCTATAACCCCCAACCCCCGATTCTTAACCCGTACAGATTTTTTTTCAGAAAACAACAAGGTGTCTCTGAAACATAAAACAACGAAGTTTGAGCAATTTTTAATTTTTTTTTCGTTTTTTGCCCCCCAGGCCGGCGCCACTGGGCCGATTTTCAAAAATTACTAACTTTTTTGTAGTGAAAATTTCATCGAAATACGAGGGATACTTTCCAAGTTATATAGAGATCAAGGATTAATGGACAGACAGACAGACCGGCAAACAGACAGACCGAGATGAGTGACATAGTTTTTCTTCGGTCACCCCTCTACAACTCCCACCGCCGCACTATTTACCCCTAAACATTTTTCGAGAATGATCAGGGTCCTCTGAAACGTGAAAGAGGAGTTTGAGCGATATTTATTTTTTTTTTCGTTTTTGGCGTTTTTCTCTGCGGTTATAAACTATGAACTTCTTCGTCCTTGGCATAGCAGTAACGTTTTACATTTCCAAGTTAGGTGGTTCAATTCCCTTTATAATGATGTAACATACATGAGCTTCAGCTCAGTAGTTTTATTGATTTAAAGCTTAAAGTAGACTTTAATAGGTATATCAGATTAGTTTGTACTACTTTCAGAAGAAATTTGACTAAAAGAATTTACTTAATAAGTAAATGCTTTTCTTCACTACGCCCATGGTTTGTTCATCATTTTGTTGTTGAAAATAGCTATTGGAGCGTTTTTTTCTGGCAAAAAAGTTATTTCTTGAAGAAAGATAAGGAAATATCTCGTACTTTTTACTTTAAATAGGAAATTAGTACATAGTTTGCGATTGGTTTGATCAAACTTTGTTGCTAAAATAACTTGTAAAGCTTTTACATAAATTAACCATGGTATATTCCACAGCAGAAAGTTGAAATTATCGAAAAATTTTTCGGAAATAATCAGTGCGCTAATAGAACAGCAGAAATATTTAATGAGCGACATGAGAACAGTAACGTTCAACGAAAATATGTTCTAGAACATGTAGCTAAGTTTCGGGAAACTGGGTCAGTCGCCAATAAAAAACGCAACATTGAAAATCCCATAAGGAACGAGGCAATAGAAGTGGGGGTTTTAGGGCAAGTTTATGTAGATCCTACGTTAAGTACCCGCAAATTGGAGACTGTATGTGGTGTTAGTCGACATACTGTCCAACGGATTCTAAATCATCCGTATAAAATTCACCTGGTACAAGAACTTAATGAAGACGATTTTGATCGGCGATTACAATTTTGTGAAGATATGAGTGAACGAATTATAAACGATGAACATGTTCTATTCAACTCTTGCTTTTCCGACGAATGTTCCTTTTTCTTAAATGGTGTAGTAAATCGTCATAACTGCCGATATTGGTCCAATTCTAATCCCAGAATTTATCATGAGGTTCATACACAGCTGCCACAAAAATTAAATGTTTGGGCTGGTATTTTTGGCGATCATTTAGTTGGTCCTTTTTTCTTACCTGGAAATTTGACCGGTGAAATGAATTTGGAATTACTGGAAGACGCCATAGATCCTGCATTAACAGCCATAATTGAAAATCAGAATGTTCGGCGGTACATTGCGAATAGGTTGATGTTCCAACAGGATGGTGCCCCATCACATTACCCATTACGTGTTCGACAATATTTAGATCAGACGTTTCCAGATCGATGGATTGGTAGAGGACGTGCCATTGAATGGCCCCTAAGATCGCCAGATTTATCACCTTTGGATTTCTTTATGTGAGGTCATTTAAAAAGCAAAATCTATGCTACTCAGCCAACATCATTAGAACACGTGCGACAAAGAATGTGAATGAGTGCCTTCAAATTACTCCTCAAATATTGCACAAAGTGCGGCAACTTTTTGAGCAAAATCTTTATTATTGCATGGAGAGCCATGATGGCCATTTTCAACATTTACTTGCCTAACGGGTGAGTTCATTCTTAATTTTTAAATTACTTTGCTGCCAAATGTATTGATCTCCACTAATGATGATGTATTAGTTTTATTTAAGCTTTAAATCAATAAATCTTCAAAACTACTGAACTGAAGTACATTAATTTTATATACTTCTAAAGGGAATTGAAAGGCCTTTAAAATAAGGTATCACTCAACCCCCGTTTCTATTTAAGATTTTGGGGTGGTGTCACCCCCGCTTAGGGGGCTGCACGCGGTAACGTGATTTTTTGCCAAACTTGTGCTCCACTCGAAAACAAAATCGACGGGTCTGAGCGTTTTTCAAAAAAAAAACTCAGCTGCCAGTAAATGCGTCTGTTTCGTTTTCGATGCGCCACCCTGTATAAAAAACATATATCTCGTTGTAGAAATTTCTCGCAATTACAAGGCCTGCGAAGTGAAAATTGCATACTGTATATTATTGACTCAGTATTTTTGATTAGTAAAGATACTTGTTGTGCTGGTCATTGTTGGTTGTCAGGTATGGTAACTCAGGAACTCGTTGATTTCTTAATATACGAGTATATTGCAGGTGACAGTGGGCGAGAAATCTTTAAACGATATTTTTTATTTGTGGGCAACATTACACCCTCCCCTAGATACAGAATGTTCCGTTACGCCCCTGACTCCAATTTACAGCATCCTTGATTTCAAGATGAATTCCGTGTTATTTCTGAAGAGCTTCAGAGTTCTCGACGGGGTGCAGCAAGAGTTTTGCAGCACAAGTCCGATTATCACAAAAAGTGGGCTGTCAACTTCACGCTGCACTTTTCTAAGGGAGAATCAAGTGTTAATTTTCTAGCTTGCTCTCTGACCGTTCTGGACTTCCTGATGCAATTTTGTTTCCATTCGCAACGTAATAGGCAAACAAGTTGTGGTAATCGAAAGAGAGTATGATGTACGACAGAAAATATTTTCTTATGTATGACGACATAATAATGTAACAACTGGCATTTAGAATCCCCATAATATCGGAAATAGATGGGGTGAACATTTTATTAGATTTTTCATTATCACGTTTGTCGGATGATATGAATCAAAATTGACGTCAAATACGTTGACTTTGCAATTTTTATTCTCGTTCTTTGACCGTCTGAGCTATTTTTTATCCAAATTTGGAATAAATCATATGGATGGCATTTGTCATATTTACTCAAAATTTGCGATATCTCAAAAAAGGTTTGTTAGGTAAATATACTTACAATCTGACGTAGAATCCAAAAATTGAATAACACTCTATTCAAAATAAGCAAATTGGTATCTACTTCCGGTACAACCGGAAATGCCAGTATTTTGAAAATATTTTTTGCCGAATTGCTCCCATATTCTATGAACTAAAGTTTTCATCACCGTCTTAAAGAATTTTTAATTGGTACGTATGCATATCGGAAAAATGAAAATAGTCGTATATAAGTGCATAGCAGTCAATCTGCTTGACAATGACAATATTGTTCCTTTGCTTACCTTGAACCGGAAACTGGTCACAATCCATTCTTTCTGGCCATTTGAATCCGTACTGCGTCATGATGGGCTCGCAACCTTCTCTGGCTCTTCGACATAGGTCTCGACATGGTGGTAGTGGTTTTTGAAAATCGGGCAAGCAGATCGGCGTGTACATCGAGCACAGGAAAAACTTTAAATCCGGGGAACATTTGATCTCCACCAGCGGCCAAAACTGAAATCAAAGAATAACCGATTATTACAGATCAAATAGAGGTGACTCGAATGGCTTTAAAAACTCAGATAATACAGATGTATAGAAATCAGTGGCATATATTTCTGCGATATAGTATCGTAAATCATTCAAGAACGAAGGAGGGTTAACAAGGGTCTGTTAGCTATTCTCCGTCTTATCAGACAACGATCTTGACAGAATGAGAACTGTCCCCTCATCAGTAATATGAATCACCTAGTTTACTCCAAATAAATTTTCACAAGATAACAATATCAAGCAACTTGCTGTGGGATATAGCACTGTTGGGCAATAATTCTTTATTGCCCAACAGAAGCATCCATTTACAGGACAATATAAGCTAAAAAGAACAACTGTTCATAAAAAATTCAAAAATAAAATATTTAAATGTAAATAATTGTAAATACAAAATAGAAAAAAATATTTATAAAAGGACGACTACCATTTAGACTACCATTAAAGTATGCACATCAAAAGTTGTATATTAGATAGTAATATTCATTGGATTTAGTCGTTACCTCAACGATACTGTCATAGTGAATATCACAATTATCTGCTATTGCATTAAAGTTGGAACACATAAAGTATATGGGAGACCTGATCAAAACATTTGATCTTGGCGTATTCAAATAAAAAGCCGGACATCTACGTGAAGCGCGAGATGGCACATGAAAACTGAGTTTGGATAGCAAGGCCGGAGAGTCAATTTGATTATGGATGAGCTTATAAAGAAATCTTAAACTGTTATTAATTCTTCTTAACTCTAGCGGCTGCATCTCGAATCTAAACAGCATAGTCATTTGATCACTGCCTCGTATCGGATAGACACCATCCAATTTGAATGTCAAGTACCTCAAAAACGGCGCTGCACGCCCTCAATTGTATTAATATGATTTTGGAAGCAAGGGTTCCATACGCTTGCTCCATATTTCAGCTTTGACGGAACTAGCGCACAGTATAGCGCTTTCGGCGCAATTTCACTAGAGAAAGATTTGCAGTTTCTTATCAAGAACCCGAGTGGTGCCTTCATAGCGGACGAAACTATGTTATTAATATGACAGGTGAATTCTAATTTGTTGTCAAACAAAACACCTAACTCTTTCACCTCGGAGCATCTCACTAAGCTCTCGTGCTCCAGTTTGTAGTCAAAACTTTGTGACATTCAGAAATAACTCATTATTCTTGCACCAATCTGAGAGACGATCGCGATTATTTTGCAAAATTGAGCAGTCTGCAGCAACATTTATTCGTAGATAGATCTTTAGATCATCAGCAAAGAGCTAGCTAGGACAAGTGAGACAGTCAATCAGATCGCTGATAAAATAAAGGAACAGGAGAGGCCCAAGATTTGTCCCTTGAGGCACCCCAGATGGTACATTATAAACAAAAGAATTAAAACCATTATAAGAGACGTATTGAGTCCTTCCACTTAAGAAGGAAGTGAAAAGCTCCTGCAAACGAAAGTCAAAGCAGAAATACGGCAGCTTGCCAATAATCTTATTCTGACTAATATTATCGAAGGTCTTTGAGAAGTCAGTATAGACCATCCATCTGTCCTTTATCACCCAAAACACCTGCTAGTTCCTGAGTAAGTTCCATTAAGTTTGAGACGGTTGAACGGTTACGCATGAATCCATGCTGTGATTCCAATTTCAGATGCTTAGTTAGAGGGTAAATGCAGTCGTATATTCATATCTCAAAAACCTTCGCAAATTTGTCCAATATGGAAATAGCTCGGTAATTTTCAATGTTACATGGGTCACCTGCTTTTAGTATAGGGCATACTTTTGCCGATTTCCATTTCGTAGGAAATGCTGCTGTGATAAGGGCACAACTAAATATTTTCTTCAGAGGCTTTACAAATACGTGGGCTGCATCTCTAACTACGAAGCTGGGAATCATATCTTCCCCAGCGGTCAACTTATTTGGTAGTTTGCGCAGGGATTTTAAAATAATTTCATCCGTAAAGTTGAGGATATCAACGCAATCATGCTGGCTATCCATCCGACCAGGTATTCTAGATGAACCCTTCTTAGATTGAATAAATGACCAAACGTACTTTGGATCTGGATATAATAAAGCTCAAAGGACTGTTCCAAGAATACCTTATACTTGGATAGTTTCGAAAAACCGCTTTATTTCGAAGATACATGGCAAATAGAAATTTCGAAAATACATTTTCTTAGCAAAAATTAGAATTGTAGCTCCTTAATCTACAAAACCTGTCCAAGAGGACTAGAAGTTAGCCAGAATATAAACTTTACACCGAAGCAGCCGCGCAGACAGAAACCTAAAGACGCGGTTGCTTGAAGAAACTTTGTTAATCCGATTTTTGAACTGCCTAAGGTTAGCAGAACTGGGAAACGTCTCCTCATGTAGATTGTTCCACAATCTCGATCCTTAGGGACAAAAAAGCGGACGTAATGGTCCGTTCTGTATGTACGAAGTTCGACACGATTAGGATGGGAGGCCAAAGTCAGGCGGGTCTGTCTACTAATGTAGTAGGGGCGGCAGCCCATCAAACATGCCAGCAATACTTAGCCCTAAACAAATACCCTAGCTTTTTCCTAGTAGCTCCCGCCATTGTCAAGACGTGTTCCTGTCAGAACAAGCACTCGGTGATCTGGACTCCGAGCAGCCTGACTGAGCTCTTTGGTAGAAATCGGCCATCCATAGAAACGGGATGAGCGCTAGGACGCTTCTTGTTGGTCAAAGTACTGTGTTTTGGAAGCATTAAACTGCACAAGATTGTTGCGTCAGAGAGGAAGTCGCTGCTAGATTTCTTTTATTTCACGGATTGCAGGGCTTTTCCAAATTCACCCCCTAATTCACTTCTTCTTCTTTATTGAGTTACTGCTAACGATTATCAGATTTCCTCACATTTTCCGCTGATGTAGAGAAAACCAATAACTTTAGATGACCCCATAGGAAATAATCTAGAGAGCTTGTGTCCGGTGATCGAACAAGTTTTCAGTTCGTGGCGAAGATATTACAGTTCAAAATATTCATTTCAATCAGTTTTTATTTTCTAAAATTCTGCGAGACAAAGCGATTTTTCCAAAAGCATGAAAAGACAATACACTCCAATCGTCCATTTTTGCCCCATATTTAGGAAATACCCATTACTGTCACCAACACTCCCTCGATAATCGAATATGACTTACTGACCTTTATAACAAATCCGAAAGATTTCTACTAATAATCTTTTTCTCACTTATGCGTGGGAAATAATCGCCAGTCAATGAGATTAATGTTTCTAGTGAAAGCTTAAAAAAATCATAAGATCATCTGATAATATATAGAAGTGCAGCGGCTTAGACGAGAAACAATAATCAATTAATATGGAACAAATATGGTTATTAAATCATTTTGATAAGGACAACTGGAGCGACGAGAAGAACAAAGAGAGCAGTGGAAGCTGAGAGTGTTATGTTTGCCACCCACAGACGTGCATAAGCAAGGTATAGAGACCACGAATAATAAGAGTAACTCCACGTCTAGGGTCAGACCAGCACCCGCAGGGGTATTACGTATCTTGAAAGGTGACATTATGTCGGTTTTTCTACAAGATGTCAATTTAGAACTAGCTGTTGTTTAATTGATATGCACTCGTTCCGTAGCTGTACGTGTTGCCTAAACGTCATGACGCTTCAGCCATCAATGTTTGGCTGTGATGTGATGTAACATCTGCTTCAGAGATGGCATTATTGGAGGTTTAAGCTGTATATTATAGCTGGAAGGAAACGGCCGTGCGGTGCATAGTGAGGATGTGTGTGTTAATAATTCCATTGGTACGAGATTTGATATGTCAGTGACTTTTTGAATTTCCCGCGCATTAACTTTGAATGCAACACTGCTGCCGTCCACTGCCATCTTTTATATGACAACTGTCAAAATTTGAACAAGCTATGTCACTTCATTTGAGTTTGATAGGCGTTGAAAGTAGACACATTAGAAACATTATTTTTTCGTAAAAAAAAAACATCACAGCAGCCAAGGAAAGGCTTGACAAATACTATGGGGACTCTGCACCATCTGTTTCAATGGTGAAGAAGTGGTCTACTGAGTTCTGTTGTGGTCGAACCAGCACAAGTGATGCCGAACCTTCAGGTCGCCCAAAAGAGGTCATCACACCAGAAATGGTGGATAAGTTCCGTGGGATAATATTGGAAGATCGGAGAATAAAAATACGTGAGGTAGCTGAGTCTGTAGGCATCTCTACTGAGCGGGTACATCACATTTTACATGAATACTTGGACATAAAAAAACTATCCGCGAGACGAGTGCCGCGATTGCTCACAGTCGACCATAAGCGCAACCGTGTGACCATTTCAAGGGAATGTTTGGCGATGTTCAGCCGCAATCCGAATGAATTTCTGCGCCGTTTTGTAATTGCAGACGAAACATGGATTCATCACAATACACCAGAAACGAAAGAACAATCAAGATAATGGGTTTCACATGGTGAGCGTGCTCCAAAGAAGGCCAAGGTGGGTCTGACAGCCAGCAAGGTCACAGTTTTCTGGGACGAATGCGGTATCATTTACAACGATTACCTTGAGAAGGGCAGAGCGATCACGGGAGACTACTATTCAGAGCTGTTAGACAGATTCAACGTTGCTTTGAAGCAAAAACGACCGCATTTGGCGAAAAAAAAATTGCTGTTCGATCAAGACAACGCACGGGTACACACGTGTGTAGGCTCGATGGCAAAAATTCATGAACTGGGCAACGAACTGCTGCCCCATCCAGCCTATTCTCCAGATTTAGTCCCCAGCGACTACTTCCTATTTCCAAACCTGAAAAAATGGCTGGGTGGTAAGAAATTTGGGTCGAATGAAGAGGTCATCATTGAAACAAACGCATATTTTGGGAGCCTTGATAAAAACTACTATTCGGAAGGAATTAAGAAATTGGAAAAACGCTGGACTAAATGTATCGAGCTAAAAGGAGATTATGTTGAGAAATAAAATGCTTATTTG